TTCAAGGTATGGTACACCTGAAGGGTGGAAGTAGAACATCACAAATACTTTGTCCATGGATGATTTCACTAACGTCCTCCTGCATCTTTCAGACAGCCCCCGATGGCTGGAAGAACTCCGTGCGCCACAACCTGTCCCTGAATAAGTGTTTTGAGAAGGTGGAGAACAAGATGAGCGGCACCTCTCGCAAAGGGTGCCTGTGGGCTCTCAATCCTGCCAAGATCGACAAGATGGAAGAGGAGATGCAGAAGTGGAAGCGGAAGGACTTAGCCGCTATTCACAGGAGCATGGCTAACCCAGGTAGGGCTTATATCACACTTTTGCTCTGTGTATGAGAGTCAAGGGGGAAAAATGGCTATTTGTTGAGGAATGTGTATATCTTAAATAAGTTATGTGGAGAAGAGCTGGCTAGTGCAGAGCTCTCACGCCCTGCAACGGCCTCCTCTGAGCTGCTTGGCCAAAATACCTGCTGTGCTCTGTACGGAGGCTGCTGCCCAGAGGCCGCGTGATAAGGCAATATGCTATAGCAGGAGGAGGCAACCGAACTGACAACCGGTTTTGGAGGGCCTCAGCACAAACTGGTCCCCAGCTTCAAAACAGATTGTCTTTTTCCCCCATGCTAACCTACCCAGCACATCCGCAGCCTTCTGAGGAGTTCTGCCGCCTCCAGTGTTAGTATTTATAGTGTCACATTTTAATGCAGTTTTCTACTTGCTCTGCAAAACTCTCCTTTTACTAAGACTTTCTCATTCTTATTAATAAAGACGTGTTATTGAAGCTTTCAGGAGCTCAGTATTGGCAAAATCAACTGGAGTTTTCTGCTGCAAAGTCTGTACCATACGATCAATGATAAATTATATTGTGCCTTGCTTAAAAAGAAATGTGCCGTTGAAACTCTTAGGAGTCTCTTGTGCGAATCATATCTGAGATACAAGCAGAACACAGAGTATCCCGATGAGCAGGAGACCTACTGAGGATGCTTAGCTCTGTGACTGCGGGTCAGCTGCCATCGGTGGTGGCTTGGTTGCTCTGTGTGAGTCTCGTGTGATCATTTCTTTAGCTCAGTTAGGGGTAACTGAGGAAGATGACTACGGTAAGAGCTAAGGGTGGGGAAATAGATGGTGTTTCTTTGCTCTCTGCACAGTCAAGGCTGCCTTCTGTGCTGCATCTCGTATGGCGACAGACACTGCCTGTTCACTTTGACGGCAAAAGTGTGTGGCTGTGCTCACTTGTGAAACGCTTTGGCGGGGCCCTGCTTGAACACGTGGGTTAAACTTTCTCTTTTCTCCCTCGGGAATGGGTATCGCGTGTGCAGAGGAGCTAGACAAACTGATCACTGACAGACCCGAGAGCTGCAGGCGGCCCAGCAAACAGGCAGAGTCTGAGGTCTCCACCCTGAACCACATGGCAGCAGCCCAGGGCCGAATCTCCATCTCCCAGCTGCAGCCTCAGCCCATCATGACGCTCTCGCTGCAGTCCATCCCCCTGCACCACCAGATCCAGACCCAGGCTCGCATCGCCCCAGACTCACCAGCACCTGCACAAACGCCTCCTCTCCATACTCTGCCCAACATGAGCCACAGCCCTCTTCCCCACCACCCCATGGGACGAGCGCCTCCCGACTTCCTCAACATGACAGCAGACATGAACACGGAGGTGGATGCTCTTGACCCAAGCATTATGGATTTTGCATTGCAAGGTATGGGAGAAGGAAGCTGGGGTAGGGGAGGGTATGATTTATGTGGTTATGTAGGTTATGTAGGTTATGTGAATATGTAACCAGGGTCCTCAGCAGGATGCTCTGGGGTGGGATGGAACAGAGCTAAAAACCTGTGCTGGGTGCTGGCGTCTGCAGCGTGACTTCCCCGTTTTTCGTGCTAGATGGGACAGCAAACCTCCTTCATGGTTCCAGTGCAGGCGCTGCAGCAGATGTAAGCAGGGATGTCCGACCAGCTGGATGTGGGACACCACATTTCTCTGCCCGTGGGAAACCATAGCTCTACCTGTGCCTTGGTTTTCCCCTTCTATAAAAGGAGAACTTCCCTGGCTCATGGCGATGCTTAGCATGGCCCCCGGGTTTCCGGTTAGCACGTGGTAGGTATATGCTGCCCAGAAAGGTCTGGACTCCTGCTGGAACCAGGGGATTTGGGGGGAACAGACACACTTACTGCCTTTGCGCTACAAATGGTACCATCCGCAAGCAGCACTGGTCCCAAGTGGCGGGTAAAGCCCTTTAGTTATGGACTGAGCCCTACACACAGTGCCCGGGTGGGTTGGATGTGTTGTGACCAGAATTTAATCTTTTAAAGGTAATATATGGGAGGAAATGAAAGACGACAGCTTCAGCCTTGATACCCTGGGTGCCTTCAGCAACTCCCCGCTCCACCTCTCAGACTGTGACCTGGGCACCCCCGGCCTCACCCCCGTCTCCAGTGGCAGGCGTGACTCCCTCC